TCTCGAAAATTTCACGTATTTGGAGAAATTTATCGGCATTTCTCGAGTCACAGGGTTATTATTTTCCAAATTGGTTGCCACGGACTTTAGTTCAGGTAAATGCGTAATAATCGACCAGTTGCAGGCGCTCGTTTTGACCAATTGTACATGTTTTTTCCATAGGCATAGCGAGGTCGCCCATAGGAAGTTGTTCAGGTTGATCGATAGCAGCGTCGTCCTCGGCGTAGTCTATAGTGTATTGTTCATCCGTCAACAACGAAAAAATCCATTGTGAAGGAAGTTCAAATCGTACACGCAACTGACATCCTCGGATCAAATTTGACCGCAAAGTCAACAAACCAACAATTGTGATGTTTAAATTAAACTGTGGTTTGAGGTATACGTGCTCATACCGTATGAGAAGTCACGGGACCCCCACCACATAACTGAGAAAGCTCGAATCATCCGACGATATCATTAAAGGATTAATTTCTATATTCTTGAACGAATCTATAAAATCAAAGTGGCTGGGTTTCAATTTACATAGCTCTTTGTATGGTCTTGTTTGCTGATCAACATTATATGATTTCTAGACATGTTCAATCTGTGCAGCTTCTTCACTTTCATATTAATGTCAATAAGAGCATTTCATCCATTTTTGAATAAATGTGGTTCATCACAAATTGTAGAAATACTCTGAGCATTGACTATAAAATGGAATGGACTTGATCCGTGAGTATTCTCCGAGCAAATCGTCTCAAGTGCGTTTTTGATCGTTGCGCCCTGATTAGAAATAGTGCCAACAACGCACAAACCAAGTCGCTGCTAGTTTGTGATCACATGAACAATAATCGTTTTCAGATCTGGGATTCTTGTATCTTTTACTAGATAATAAGCCACAACCTGCTTATAATTTTTACGAATCCCTCTTATCATGGAAGTAAGGGCATGATTTCTGATAAATCACTTTTTCAGAGTTCTAGTTGATTTTGTTACCTCAGAATTCAAGATTTATTAGCTGAAAATTGTACACTGTGAGCACTGGGATCAGCCCTAAACTTTGTCCAAACCCTGCAATAATCGTAAACACTAAACAAGGGTAGACATATTTCTAGTTTAACTGCCTGAAGATTTTCTCTATGGTTTATACGTAACTCTCCACCTATTATCTCATTTTTGTACATGTTCTGGGAGAACTCAACTTGCTCCCTATAAAATGCAACGTCTTCCTGCACAGGTGGTTCTGGTTAAGTGCCAGCCTGCTTCGGGTTTGTAATTAGTTGTTGCAATTTTCTGATTTCGTCGTCCTTTTTCATAATCCAGATTTCGTTTTGGCATTCCAGTTCAGCCATTTGATCCTGAAGCTCTTTTATAGTAGAATCATTATGGCATCGTATATCTGAGATTTTAAATGAGTGGTTGACCTCACGTTGGTTACTCTCGTCCATCAGACTCTTTACGTCATTTCTCAGTTTAGATTCAAGTTCTTTTAGGAAGCCAATTTCATCTTGCAGTTCAGCAATGTGTGACATCGTTACATCAGTTTGTGCAGCAGCACTTAAAGAATGTTGCATATCTTCGTACTCAGCGTCAAGCATAGCTTCTAAGTCTGCAACCTTCTTTTTTGACTCAATATTTTGAGCTTCAAGAGATGGTTTAGGGCTCTCTGATCTTCCTAGGTTCTTCAGTTGAGTACGCAGCATCTCTATTTCTGACTCGTATGTTTTTAGTTTTTTATTTTTTTTTCCAGAAAATCGAGTCTGTATTGCAAGTCGATGAAATTCTTGCGCTTTTTGAGAATTTTTTTGAACTCTTTCTATTTCTTCGTTGTACGCATCCGTTACTTGGCGGAGTTCCTGACTGTAACGATCGAATTTAGAATTGGCTTCTGTGAGCTGTTTCTTCAGGTCCAAAATCTCCAGCTGATTATCTAGTTTAGTGAATTCTCTAAGCTCATTGAAAGATTCTTCCAGTTCTTTGAGTTGTCTTTTAAGTACACTTGCACGTCTTCAGCTATCACAGATTCTGCTTCGGCTAGTGCCTCCTCATATGTCTCTTCTTGAATAGGCCTCATTTCACGTCCGGATGATTCTTCTTTGGGTGGATAATTTTTCAATGGCATATACCCTAGGGATGCTTTTTTAGGTGATACGTTGCCATAGTGTCCAAAAGTATGACGTCTTAATGTTTTTTTCGGTGTTGATGCCGAGGCTCCCATTTGAAAGCGCCCGACAATAGATACTTCCGTTTTTAGTCTTTCTATCTCGAGCAGATACTCTTGTTTGCTTTTATCCATCTCTTTTAGCTTAATTGCCTGCTTTTTGAGCCGAGTTTCGAGATCGCGAGTCAAGTTCTGATATCCTTGAAGTGTCTCTTCTGTAGCTGACAAGATGTTTACTTTCGTTTTATTTTTGACAGTTTTAGTGCTTTGGGCGAATTCTGGTGTAGATCTAGTCTCCTCCTCTGCAGCTAAAGTAACATTCCCGATAATCAATGATTTGGCATTACCGCCAAGAGCCTGTGAGAGCAGTCTAGTCAATTTCGAATCGCGATAACTGATAAACTCCTTCCCCTCGCTTAGTTGCCTTATCACATTTCCTAATACTGACAAAGATTTGTTTATGTTAGCCCCCTCTTTAAGACGCTCACCAGCAGCTTTCGTCAGAGAAACTCTCTCAGAACCAGCTAAGTCCATTAAGTTAAGGTAGCTTATATGTACAGGTCCATCTTTCTGATTGGCATCTTTCGACTCCAGAATAATCCGGAAAATCGTGTGTGATCGAGATGACCTCTCATTCATGCGAGTAGCTGCAACTCGTCTGATCTTATTGCCCTGCATCATGTTCTCCATAACTTTATCAACATTGTCTACGACAGCTTCCCTTGCATCAAGCAGCACATTTCCTTTGATATCTTCTCTTATAGTTAAACCCTGATTGCTCTTATCCAGGAGGTCATTGATCTTTTCATTGTAGATTTCAATATAACTGCATCTAATCAAGTACCTCTTATCAACCTGGTCTGCCACATGCTGGAATAACTGATTGGATACTAATTGGAAAAGCCCAGGATCTGTTTTATTGCCCAAAATGGTGTGTGTTTTGCCAGAAGATGTTTGGCCATATGCAAATATTGTGGCATTGAAACCTTCCATGAAGGAATCGACTAAAGGTTTTACTACAGATCCATATACATCTGAATTTGTACATTCCTGCTTAAATACATGGTCGAATATATAAACCTCTCCATGGCGACTACTTTCATCGGCTTCCCATATGCAGTTTACTCTTACGTTCCAAAGACGCTCTAGACCATCGGCTACTTCGCGGTGGATCATTGGTCTGATCTTTGTGGCTACTTTAATATTGTCGGAAGTCATTTTGGAAGCTTGAACTGAAATTTAATTAGAACTAGGGCTATTTCACGGGTTATAAAGAGGGGCACTTTTCATAATCCAGATTTCGTTTTGGCATTCCAGTTCAGCCATTTGATCCTGAAGCTCTTTTATAGTAGAATCATTATGGCATCGTATATCTGAGATTTTAAATGAGTGGTTGACCTCACGTTGGTTACTCTCGTCCATCAGACTCTTTACGTCATTTCTCAGTTTAGATTCAAGTTCTTTTAGGAAGCCAATTTCATCTTGCAGTTCAGCAATGTGTGACATCGTTACATCAGTTTGTGTAGCAGCACTTAAAGAATCTTGCATATCTTCGTACTCAGCGTCAAGCATAGCTTCTAAGTCTGCAACCTTTTTTTTGACTCAATATTTTGAGCTTCAAGAGATGGTTTAGGGCTCTCTGATCTTCCTAGGTTCTTCAGTTGAGTACGCAGCATCTCTATTTCTGACTCGTATGTTTTTAGTTTTTATTATTTTTTTCCAGAAAATCGAGTCTGTATTGCAAGTCGATGAAATTCTTGCGCTTTTTGAGAATTTTTTTGAACTCTTTCTATTTCTTCGTTGTACGCATCCGTTACTTGGCGGAGTTCCTGACTGTAACGATCGATTTTAGAATTGGCTTCTGTGAGCTGTTTCTTCAGGTCCAAAATCTCCAGCTGATTATCTAGTTTAGTGAATTCTCTAAGCTCATTGAAAGATTCTTCCAGTTCTTTGCGTTGTCTTTTAAGTACACTTGCACGTCTTCAGCTATCACAGATTCTGCTTCGGCTAGTGCCTCCTCATATGTCTCTTCTTGAATAGGCCTCATTTCACGTCCGGATGATTCTTCTTTGGGTGGATAATTTTTCAATGGCATATACCCTAGGGATGCTTTTTTAGGTGATACGTTGCCATAGTGTCCAAAAGTATGACGTCTTAATTTTTTTTCGGTGTTGATGCCGAGGCTCCCATTTGAAAGCGCCCGACAATAGATACTTCCGTTTTTAGTCTTTCTATCTCGAGCAGATACTCTTGTTTGCTTTTATCCATCTCTTTTAGCTTAATTGCCTGCTTTTTGAGCCGAGTTTCGAGATCGCGAGTCAAGTTCTGATATCCTTGAAGTGTCTCTTCTGTAGCTGACAAGATGTTTACTTTCGTTTTATTTTTGACAGTTTTAGTGCTTTGGGCGAATTCTGGTGTAGATCTAGTCTCCTCCTCTGCAGCTAAAGTAACATTCCCGATAATCAATGATTTGGCATTACCGCCAAGAGCCTGTGAGAGCAGTCTAGTCAATTTCGAATCGCGATAACTGATAAACTCCTTCCCCTCGCTTAGTTGCCTTATCACATTTCCTAATACTGACAAAGATTTGTTTATGTTAGCCCCCTCTTTAAGACGCTCACCAGCAGCTTTCGTCAGAGAAACTCTCTCAGAACCAGCTAAGTCCATTAAGTTAAGGTAGCTTATATGTACAGGTCCATCTTTCTGATTGGCATCTTTCGACTCCAGAATAATCCGGAAAATCGTGTGTGATCGAGATGACCTCTCATTCATGCGAGTAGCTGCAACTCGTCTGATCTTATTGCCCTGCATCATGTTCTCCATAACTTTATCAACATTGTCTACGACAGCTTCCCTTGCATCAAGCAGCACATTTCCTTTGATATCTTCTCATAGTTAAACCCTGATTGCTCTTATCCAGGAGGTCATTGATCTTTTCATTGTAGATTTCAATATAACTGCATCTAATCAAGTACCTCTTATCAACCTGGTCTGCCACATGCTGGAATAACTGATTGGATACTAATTGGAAAAGCCCAGGATCTGTTTTATTGCCCAAAATGGTGTGTGTTTTGCCAGAAGATGTTTGGCCATATGCAAATATTGTGGCATTGAAACCTTCCATGAAGGAATCGACTAAAGGTTTTACTACAGATCCATATACATCTGAATTTGTACATTCCTGATTAAATACATGGTCGAATATATAAACCTCTCCATGGCGACTACTTTCATCGGCTTCCCATATGCAGTTTACTCTTACGTTCCAAAGACGCTCTAGACCATCGGCTACTTCGCGGTGGATCATTGGTCTGATCTTTGTGGCTACTTTAATATTGTTGGAAGTCATTTTGGAAGCTTGAACTGAAATTTAATTAGAACTAGGGCTATTTCACGGGTTATAAAGAGGGGCAGATGTATCAGGTTGATACATTCTTTTTTTCCTCCTTTCCAGTATAGAAGATTTTTTTCTCTTGTAGGCTATGAATGCGGTCCGATAGTTTAGTAGAGCTACATTTACAGGGTGACTCAAAATCAAAGAAGAAACAGAATTGTTAAATTTCATATAGACTGTTATTGTTATTACAAAAAGAAGTTGAAGCAGCAGCAAATTCTCACAAATCTATAGATCCATCACTTTCAGCACCCGATTTTTCAACTTGAAAAATGCAGCTCGGTGAAGAATCACAAGGTAACTGTTGTCTATTCAGACAATACTCTTCTAAAAGCAACGCGAAGTTACCTAGTGCCTTACATGAATCGCCTTCATAATTCTTCATTATTGTCAATGGAAAACTGAAATTGTTGATTATTACAGTTTTTAATGCTTCAAATAAACAGATGGTGTTCGTGTTGGAAATCCCACGTCTAATCTCGCAAAACAGGTTATCCACCGGATCTTACTATCAACATCTGAAATGCCATTACTGTTTTTAGCCATGTGTACAACAGGTTTGTACGCATAAGACACTCTTACATGAAAACTGTTTATTGTCTAAAAACGAAAATACCCCATTGAAGATGAGTAATGCAAAATATAATCCTCGAAACTTGAACTGTAATATGAACATAAAAAAACTAACAAAATGGGCCATTTAACAACATATTTGGTGTTGATATTCTACAACAAAAACAAATACTTTCTCGTATAAGGAAACATACAATAATTAACATTTATCACTTTTCACGAAACAATGTAAGTGCGCTGTGACTTTACATACTTATTACAGATTGTAGAACATTTTTTTCATTGTGTATTGTCATGTAACACCTACGTCGTTTTTTTTCTTTAACAACTGCATCAGGATCGAGAACTCTGGGCTGAGAAGTAGACGGCTTACTTTATTCGTCGTTGGTAATTTAGGATTCTTTGCATGGCTGAACGAAGCTCCCTAGGAAGTCTTGGATCTGATAAACGTCCTCTCATACGAAGTTAAATTAGAGTTTGCCTCAGGGGAACAATAAAATTTCGTCGCCTAATGGAACTTTCAGTCCCAGACTGAAAAAAAAAGGAATTTACAGAAGCTGGTTGGATACCAAATAGCACAAGGCCATCTTCTCGTTCTCTAACCAGTATTGTAATTTACACACTTCCGATCTAATGCATTACCCCCCGCCTTCATAGTGTTATAAAAATAATATAGGATCTTATCAGGTTTCTTTGATTCCTCTACTATTTTGTTATCATGCTGCATAGATTGCTATACGAGAACATGTGTATTTGGTTTTGGAAGATACTACTCTAAGGCTGTACAACATAAACTTAGAAGTACCTGGCTGTGTTTCCTTCTTATTTGGAACTACATGTTGGGGTACTTGTTACTTATTTTTACGCTTCCTGCCGACATAGGTCAGTTGGTTGATGCGCAATTCTACATGTAATTCTACTGACGTGAACCAGTCATCTGCTGTGATATTTCTGTTCGTATAGACGAAAGCATTGAGCAGGTAGTGGTGAGTCTTTGCATCATCAGTCCATACTTATTCGGTTTAGTTTTCTTGTAGGCACAGGAAGGACATCGGCCCACGAGCATCTCGTATTTTGTAGGGGACTCACCCGAAATATAACAATTTCGACAGTTCTCTATGAGTGTCTCGAAAATTTCACGTATTTGGAGAAATTTATCGGCATTTCTCGAGTCACAGGGTTATTATTTTCCAAATTGGTTGCCACGGACTTTAGTTCAGGTAAATGCGTAATAATCGACCAGTTGCAGGCGCTCGTTTTGACCAATTGTACATGTTTTTTCCATAGGCATAGCGAGGTCGCCCATAGGAAGTTGTTCAGGTTGATCGATAGCAGCGTCGTCCTCGGCGTAGTCTATAGTGTATTGTTCATCCGTCAACAACGAAAAAATCCATTGTGAAGGAAGTTCAAATCGTACACGCAACTGACATCCTCGGATCAAATTTGACCGCAAAGTCAACAAACCAACAATTGTGATGTTTAAATTAAACTGTGGTTTGAGGTATACGTGCTCATACCGTATGAGAAGTCACGGGACCCCCACCACATAAGAGAAAGCTCGAATCATCCGACGATATCATTAAAGGATTAATTTCTATATTCTTGAACGAATCTATAAAATCAAAGTGGCTGGGTTTCAATTTACATAGCTCTTTGTATGGTCTTGTTTGCTGATCAACATTATATGATTTCTAGACATGTTCAATCTGTGCAGCTTCTTCACTTTCTAATGTCAATAAGAGCATTTCATCCATTTTTGAATAAATGTGGTTCATCACAAATTGTAGAAATACTCTGAGCATTGACTATAAAATGGAATGGACTTGATCCGTGAGTATTCTCCGAGCAAATCGTCTCAAGTGCGTTTTTGATCGTTGCGCCCTGATTAGAAATAGTGCCAACAACGCACAAACCAAGTCGCTGCTAGTTTGTGATCACATGAACAATAATCGTTTTCAGATCTGGGATTCTTGTATCTTTTACTAGATAATAAGCCACAACCTGCTTATAATTTTTACGAATCCCTCTTATCATGGAAGTAAGGGCATGATTTCTGATAAATCACTTTTTCAGAGTTCTAGTTGATTTTGTTACCTCAGAATTCAAGATTTATTAGCTGAAAATTGTACACTGTGAGCACTGGGATCAGCCCTAAACTTTGTCCAAACCCTGCAATAATCGTAAACACTAAACAAGGGTAGACATATTTCTAGTTTAACTGCCTGAAGATTTTCTCTATGGTTTATACGTAACTCTCCACCTATTATCTCATTTTTGTACATGTTCTGGGAGAACTCAACTTGCTCCCTATAAAATGCAACGTCTTCCTGCACAGGTGGTTCTGGTTAAGTGCCAGCCTGCTTCGGGTTTGTAATTAGTTGTTGCAATTTTCTGATTTCGTCGTCCTTTTTCATAATCCAGATTTCGTTTTGGCATTCCAGTTCAGCCATTTGATCCTGAAGCTCTTTTATAGTAGAATCATTATGGCATCGTATATCTGAGATTTTAAATGAGTGGTTGACCTCACGTTGGTTACTCTCGTCCATCAGACTCTTTACGTCATTTCTCAGTTTAGATTCAAGTTCTTTTAGGAAGCCAATTTCATCTTGCAGTTCAGCAATGTGTGACATCGTTACATCAGTTTGTGCAGCAGCACTTAAAGAATGTTGCATATCTTCGTACTCAGCGTCAAGCATAGCTTCTAAGTCTGCAACCTTCTTTTTTGACTCAATATTTTGAGCTTCAAGAGATGGTTTAGGGCTCTCTGATCTTCCTAGGTTCTTCAGTTGAGTACGCAGCATCTCTATTTCTGACTCGTATGTTTTTAGTCTTTTTATTATTTTTTTCCAGAAAATCGAGTCTGTATTGCAAGTCGATGAAATTCTTGCGCTTTTTGAGAATTTTTTTGAACTCTTTCTATTTCTTCGTTGTACGCATCCGTTACTTGGCGGAGTTCCTGACTGTAACGATCGAATTTAGAATTGGCTTCTGTGAGCTGTTTCTTCAGGTCCAAAATCTCCAGCTGATTATCTAGTTTAGTGAATTCTCTAAGCTCATTGAAAGATTCTTCCAGTTCTTTGAGTTGTCTTTTAAGTACACTTGCACGTCTTCAGCTATCACAGATTCTGCTTCGGCTAGTGCCTCCTCATATGTCTCTTCTTGAATAGGCCTCATTTCACGTCCGGATGATTCTTCTTTGGGTGGATAATTTTTCAATGGCATATACCCTAGGGATGCTTTTTTAGGTGATACGTTGCCATAGTGTCCAAAAGTATGACGTCTTAATGTTTTTTTCGGTGTTGATGCCGAGGCTCCCATTTGAAAGCGCCCGACAATAGATACTTCCGTTTTTAGTCTTTCTATCTCGAGCAGATACTCTTGTTTGCTTTTATCCATCTCTTTTAGCTTAATTGCCTGCTTTTTGAGCCGAGTTTCGAGATCGCGAGTCAAGTTCTGATATCCTTGAAGTGTCTCTTCTGTAGCTGACAAGATGTTTACTTTCGTTTTATTTTTGACAGTTTTAGTGCTTTGGGCGAATTCTGGTGTAGATCTAGTCTCCTCCTCTGCAGCTAAAGTAACATTCCCGATAATCAATGATTTGGCATTACCGCCAAGAGCCTGTGAGAGCAGTCTAGTCAATTTCGAATCGCGATAACTGATAAACTCCTTCCCCTCGCTTAGTTGCCTTATCACATTTCCTAATACTGACAAAGATTTGTTTATGTTAGCCCCCTCTTTAAGACGCTCACCAGCAGCTTTCGTCAGAGAAACTCTCTCAGAACCAGCTAAGTCCATTAAGTTAAGGTAGCTTATATGTACAGGTCCATCTTTCTGATTGGCATCTTTCGACTCCAGAATAATCCGGAAAATCGTGTGTGATCGAGATGACCTCTCATTCATGCGAGTAGCTGCAACTCGTCTGATCTTATTGCCCTGCATCATGTTCTCCATAACTTTATCAACATTGTCTACGACAGCTTCCATTGCAGCACATTTCCTTTGATATCTTCTCATAGTTAAACCCTGATTGCTCTTATCCAGGAGGTCATTGATCTTTTCATTGTAGATTTCAATATAACTGCATCTAATCAAGTACCTCTTATCAACCTGGTCTGCCACATGCTGGAATAACTGATTGGATACTAATTGGAAAAGCCCAGGATCTGTTTTATTGCCCAAAATGGTGTGTGTTTTGCCAGAAGATGTTTGGCCATATGCAAATATTGTGGCATTGAAACCTTCCATGAAGGAATCGACTAAAGGTTTTACTACAGATCCATATACATCTGAATTTGTACATTCCTGATTAAATACATGGTCGAATATATAAACCTCTCCATGGCGACTACTTTCATCGGCTTCCCATATGCAGTTTACTCTTACGTTCCAAAGACGCTCTAGAACCATCGGCTACTTCGCGGTGGATCATTGGTCTGATCTTTGTGGCTACTTTAATATTGTTGGAAGTCATTTTGGAAGCTTGAACTGAAATTTAATTAGAACTAGGGCTATTTCACGGGTTATAAAGAGGGGCAGATGTATCAGGTTGATACATTCTTTTTTTCCTCCTTTCCAGTATAGAAGATTTTTTTCTCTTGTAGGCTATGAATGCGGTCCGATAGTTTAGTAGAGCTACATTTACAGGGTGACTCAAAATCAAAGAAGAAACAGAATTGTTAAATTTCATATAGACTGTTATTGTTATTACAAAAAGAAGTTGAAGCAGCAGCAAATTCTCACAAATCTATAGATCCATCACTTTCAGCACCCGATTTTTCAACTTGAAAAATGCAGCTCGGTGAAGAATCACAAGGTAACTGTTGTCTATTCAGACAATACTCTTCTAAAAGCAACGCGAAGTTACCTAGTGCCTTACATGAATCGCCTTCATAATTCTTCATTATTGTCAATGGAAAACTGAAATTGTTGATTATTACAGTTTTTAATGCTTCAAATAAACAGATGGTGTTCGTGTTGGAAATCCCACGTCTAATCTCGCAAAACAGGTTATCCACCGGATCTTACTATCAACATCTGAAATGCCATTACTGTTTTTAGCCATGTGTACAACAGGTTTGTACGCATAAGACACTCTTACATGAAAACTGTTTATTGTCTAAAAACGAAAATACCCCATTGAAGATGAGTAATGCAATAAATATAATCCTCGAAACTTGAACTGTAATATGAACATAAAAAAACTAACAAAATGGGCCATTTAACAACATATTTGGTGTTGATATTCTACAACAAAAACAAATACTTTCTCGTATAAGGAAACATACAATAATTAACATTTATCACTTTTCACGAAACAATGTAAGTGCGCTGTGACTTTACATACTTATTACAGATTGTAGAACATTTTTTTCATTGTGTATTGTCATGTAACACCTACGTCGTTTTTTTTCTTTAACAACTGCATCAGGATCGAGAACTCTGGGCTGAGAAGTAGACGGCTTACTTTATTCGTCGTTGGTAATTTAGGATTCTTTGCATGGCTGAACGAAGCTCCCTAGGAAGTCTTGGATCTGATAAACGTCCTCTCATACGAAGTTAAATTAGAGTTTGCCTCAGGGGAACAATAAAATTTCGTCGCCTAATGGAACTTTCAGTCCCAGACTGAAAAAAAAAGGAATTTACAGAAGCTGGTTGGATACCAAATAGCACAAGGCCATCTTCTCGTTCTCTAACCAGTATTGTAATTTACACACTTCCGATCTAATGCATTACCCCCCGCCTTCATAGTGTTATAAAAATAATATAGGATCTTATCAGGTTTTTTGATTCCTCTACTATTTTGTTATCATGCTGCATAGATTGCTATACGAGAACATGTGTATTTGGTTTTGGAAGATACTACTCTAAGGCTGTACAACATAAACTTAGAAGTACCTGGCTGTGTTTCCTTCTTATTTGGAACTACATGTTGGGGTACTTGTTACTTATTTTTACGCTTCCTGCCGACATAGGTCAGTTGGTTGATGCGCAATTCTACATGTAATTCTACTGACGTGAACCAGTCATCTGCTGTGATATTTCTGTTCGTATAGACGAAAGCATTGAGCAGGTAGTGGTGAGTCTTTGCATCATCAGTCCATACTTATTCGGTTTAGTTTTCTTGTAGGCACAGGAAGGACATCGGCCCACGAGCATCTCGTATTTTGTAGGGGACTCACCCGAAATATAACAATTTCGACAGTTCTCTATGAGTGTCTCGAAAATTTCACGTATTTGGAGAAATTTATCGGCATTTCTCGAGTCACAGGGTTATTATTTTCCAAATTGGTTGCCACGGACTTTAGTTCAGGTAAATGCGTAATAATCGACCAGTTGCAGGCGCTCGTTTTGACCAATTGTACATGTTTTTTCCATAGGCATAGCGAGGTCGCCCATAGGAAGTTGTTCAGGTTGATCGATAGCAGCGTCGTCCTCGGCGTAGTCTATAGTGTATTGTTCATCCGTCAACAACGAAAAAATCCATTGTGAAGGAAGTTCAAATCGTACACGCAACTGACATCCTCGGATCAAATTTGACCGCAAAGTCAACAAACCAACAATTGTGATGTTTAAATTAAACTGTGGTTTGAGGTATACGTGCTCATACCGTATGAGAAGTCACGGGACCCCCACCACATAACTGAGAAAGCTCGAATCATCCGACGATATCATTAAAGGATTAATTTCTATATTCTTGAACGAATCTATAAAATCAAAGTGGCTGGGTTTCAATTTACATAGCTCTTTGTATGGTCTTGTTTGCTGATCAACATTATATGATTTCTAGACATGTTCAATCTGTGCAGCTTCTTCACTTTCATATTAATGTCAATAAGAGCATTTCATCCATTTTTGAATAAATGTGGTTCATCACAAATTGTAGAAATACTCTGAGCATTGACTATAAAATGGAATGGACTTGATCCGTGAGTATTCTCCGAGCAAATCGTCTCAAGTGCGTTTTTGATCGTTGCGCCCTGATTAGAAATAGTGCCAACAACGCACAAACCAAGTCGCTGCTAGTTTGTGATCACATGAACAATAATCGTTTTCAGATCTGGGATTCTTGTATCTTTTACTAGATAATAAGCCACAACCTGCTTATAATTTTTACGAATCCCTCTTATCATGGAAGTAAGGGCATGATTTCTGATAAATCACTTTTTCAGAGTTCTAGTTGATTTTGTTACCTCAGAATTCAAGATTTATTAGCTGAAAATTGTACACTGTGAGCACTGGGATCAGCCCTAAACTTTGTCCAAACCCTGCAATAATCGTAAACACTAAACAAGGGTAGACATATTTCTAGTTTAACTGCCTGAAGATTTTCTCTATGGTTTATACGTAACTCTCCACCTATTATCTCATTTTTGTACATGTTCTGGGAGAACTCAACTTGCTCCCTATAAAATGCAACGTCTTCCTGCACAGGTGGTTCTGGTTAAGTGCCAGCCTGCTTCGGGTTTGTAATTAGTTGTTGCAATTTTCTGATTTCGTCGTCCTTTTTCATAATCCAGATTTCGTTTTGGCATTCCAGTTCAGCCATTTGATCCTGAAGCTCTTTTATAGTAGAATCATTATGGCATCGTATATCTGAGATTTTAAATGAGTGGTTGACCTCACGTTGGTTACTCTCGTCCATCAGACTCTTTACGTCATTTCTCAGTTTAGATTCAAGTTCTTTTAGGAAGCCAATTTCATCTTGCAGTTCAGCAATGTGTGACATCGTTACATCAGTTTGTGCAGCAGCACTTAAAGAATGTTGCATATCTTCGTACTCAGCGTCAAGCATAGCTTCTAAGTCTGCAACCTTCTTTTTTGACTCAATATTTTGAGCTTCAAGAGATGGTTTAGGGCTCTCTGATCTTCCTAGGTTCTTCAGTTGAGTACGCAGCATCTCTATTTCTGACTCGTATGTTTTTAGTCTTTTTATTATTTTTTTCCAGAAAATCGAGTCTGTATTGCAAGTCGATGAAATTCTTGCGCTTTTTGAGAATTTTTTTGAACTCTTTCTATTTCTTCGTTGTACGCATCCGTTACTTGGCGGAGTTCCTGACTGTAACGATCGAATTTAGAATTGGCTTCTGTGAGCTGTTTCTTCAGGTCCAAAATCTCCAGCTGATTATCTAGTTTAGTGAATTCTCTAAGCTCATTGAAAGATTCTTCCAGTTCTTTGAGTTGTCTTTTAAGTACACTTGCACGTCTTCAGCTATCACAGATTCTGCTTCGGCTAGTGCCTCCTCATATGTCTCTTCTTGAATAGGCCTCATTTCACGTCCGGATGATTCTTCTTTGGGTGGATAATTTTTCAATGGCATATACCCTAGGGATGCTTTTTTAGGTGATACGTTGCCATAGTGTCCAAAAGTATGACGTCTTAATGTTTTTTTCGGTGTTGATGCCGAGGCTCCCATTTGAAAGCGCCCGACAATAGATACTTCCGTTTTTAGTCTTTCTATCTCGAGCAGATACTCTTGTTTGCTTTTATCCATCTCTTTTAGCTTAATTGCCTGCTTTTTGAGCCGAGTTTCGAGATCGCGAGTCAAGTTCTGATATCCTTGAAGTGTCTCTTCTGTAGCTGACAAGATGTTTACTTTCGTTTTATTTTTGACAGTTTTAGTGCTTTGGGCGAATTCTGGTGTAGATCTAGTCTCCTCCTCTGCAGCTAAAGTAACATTCCCGATAATCAATGATTTGGCATTACCGCCAAGAGCCTGTGAGAGCAGTCTAGTCAATTTCGAATCGCGATAACTGATAAACTCCTTCCCCTCGCTTAGTTGCCTTATCACATTTCCTAATACTGACAAAGATTTGTTTATGTTAGCCCCCTCTTTAAGACGCTCACCAGCAGCTTTCGTCAGAGAAACTCTCTCAGAACCAGCTAAGTCCATTAAGTTAAGGTAGCTTATATGTACAGGTCCATCTTTCTGATTGGCATCTTTCGACTCCAGAATAATCCGGAAAATCGTGTGTGATCGAGATGACCTCTCATTCATGCGAGTAGCTGCAACTCGTCTGATCTTATTGCCCTGCATCATGTTCTCCATAACTTTATCAACATTGTCTACGACAGCTTCCCTTGCATCAAGCAGCACATTTCCTTTGATATCTTCTTATAGTTAAACCCTGATTGCTCTTATCCAGGAGGTCATTGATCTTTTCATTGTAGATTTCAATATAACTGCATCTAATCAAGTACCTCTTATCAACCTGGTCTGCCACATGCTGGAATAACTGATTGGATACTAATTGGAAAAGCCCAGGATCTGTTTTATTGCCCAAAATGGTGTGTGTTTTGCCAGAAGATGTTTGGCCATATGCAAATATTGTGGCATTGAAACCTTCCATGAAGGAATCGACTAAAGGTTTTACTACAGATCCATATACATCTGAATTTGTACATTCCTGCTTAAATACATGGTCGAATATATAAACCTCTCCATGGCGACTACTTTCATCGGCTTCCCATATGCAGTTTACTCTTACGTTCCAAAGACGCTCTAGACCATCGGCTACTTCGCGGTGGATCATTGGTCTGATCTTTGTGGCTACTTTAATATTGTCGGAAGTCATTTTGGAAGCTTGAACTGAAATTTAATTAGAACTAGGGCTATTTCACGGGTTATAAAGAGGGGCAGATGTATCAGGTTGATACATTCTTTTTTTCCTCCTTTCCAGTATAGAAGATTTTTTTCTCTTGTAGGCTATGAATGCGGTCCGATAGTTTAGTAGAGCTACATTTACAGGGTGACTCAAAATCAAAGAAGAAACAGAATTGTTAAATTTCATATAGACTGTTATTGTTATTACAAAAGAAGTTGAAGCAGCAGCAAATTCTCACAAATCTATAGATCCATCACTTTCAGCACCCGATTTTTCAACTTGAAAAATGCAGCTCGGTGAAGAATCACAAGGTAACTGTTGTCTATTCAGACAATACTCTTCTAAAAGCAACGCGAAGTTACCTAGTGCCTTACATGAATCGCCTTCATAATTCTTCATTATTGTCAATGGAAAACTGAAATTGTTGATTATTACAGTTTTTAATGCTTCAAATAAACAGATGGTGTTCGTGTTGGAAATCCCACGTCTAATCTCGCAAAACAGGTTATCCACCGGATCTTACTATCAACATCTGAAATGCCATTACTGTTTTTAGCCATGTGTACAACAGGTTTGTACGCATAAGACACTCTTACATGAAAACTGTTTATTGTCTAAAAACGAAAATACCCCATTGAAGATGAGTAATGCAATAAATATAATCCTCGAAACTTGAACTGTAATATGAACATAAAAAAACTAACAAAATGGGCCATTTAACAACATATTTGGTGTTGATATTCTACAACAAAAACAAATACTTTCTCGTATAAGGAAACATACAATAATTAACATTTATCACTTTTCACGAAACAATGTAAGTGCGCTGTGACTTTACATACTTATTACAGATTGTAGAACATTTTTTTCATTGTGTATTGTCATGTAACACCTACGTCGTTTTTTTTCTTTAACAACTGCATCAGGATCGAGAACTCTGGGCTGAGAAGTAGACGGCTTACTTTATTCGTCGTTGGTAATTTAGGATTCTTTGCATGGCTGAACGAAGCTCCCTAGGAAGTCTTGGATCTGATAAACGTCCTCTCATACGAAGTTAAATTAGAGTTTGCCTCAGGGGAACAATAAAATTTCGTCGCCTAATGGAACTTTCAGTCCCAGACTGAAAAAAAAAGGAATTTACAGAAGCTGGTTGGATACCAAATAGCACAAGGCCATCTTCTCGTTCTCTAACCAGTATTGTAATTTACACACTTCCGATCTAATGCATTACCCCCCCGCCTTCATAGTGTTATAAAAAATATAGGATCTTATCAGGTTTCTTTGATTCCTCTACTATTTTGTTATCATGCTGCATAGATTGCTATACGAGAACATGTGTATTGGTTTTGGAAGATACTACTAAGGCTGTACAACATAAACTTAGAAGTACCTGGCTGTGTTTCCTTCTTATTTGGAACTACATGTTGGGGTACTTGTTACTTATTTTTACGCTTCCTGCCGACATAGGTCAGTTGGTTGATGCGCAATTCTACATGTAATTCTACTGACGTGAACCAGTCATCTGCTGTGAATTTCTGTTCGTATAGACGAAAGCATTGAGCAGGTAGTGGTGAGTCTTTGCATCATCAGTCCATACTTATTCGGTTTAGTTTTCTTGTAGGCACAGGAAGGACATCGGCCGGCCCACGAGCATCTCGTATTTTGTAGGGGACTCACCCGAAATATAACAATTTCGACAGTTCTCTATGAGTGTCTCGAAAATTTCACGTATTTGGAGAAATTTATCGGCATTTCTCGAGTCACAGGGTTATTATTTTCCAAATTGGTTGCCACGGACTTTAGTTCAGGTAAATGCGTAATAATCGACCAGTTGCAGGCGCTCGTTTTGACCAATTGTACATGTTTTTTCCATAGGCATAGCGAGGTCGCCCATAGGAAGTTGTTCAGGTTGATCGATAGCAGCGTCGTCCTCGGCGTAGTCTATAGTGTATTGTTCATCCGTCAACAACGAAAAAATCCATTGTGAAGGAAGTTCAAATCGTACACGCAACTGACATCCTCGGATCAAATTTGACCGCAAAGTCAACAAACCAACAATTGTGATGTTTAAATTAAACTGTGGTTTGAGGTATACGTGCTCATACCGTATGAGAAGTCACGGGACCCCCACCACATAACTGAGAAAGCTCGAATCATCCGACGATATCATTAAAGGATTAATTTCTATATTCTTGAACGAATCTATAAAATCAAGTGGCTGGGTTTCAATTTACATAGCTCTTTGTATGGTCTTGTTTGCTGATCAACATTATATGATTTCTAGACATGTTCAATCTGTGCAGCTTCTTCACTTTCATATTAATGTCAATAAGAGCATTTCATCCATTTTTGAATAAATGTGGTTCATCACAAATTGTAGAAATACTCTGAGCATTGACTATAAAATGGAATGGACTTGATCCGTGAGTATTCTCCGAGCAAATCGTCTCAAGTGCGTTTTTGATCGTTGCGGCCCTGATTAGAAATAGTGCCAACAACGCACAAACCAAGTCGCTGCTAGTTTGTGATCACATGAACAATAAATCGTTTTCAGATCTGGGATTCTTGTATCTTTACTAGATAATAAGCCACAACCTGCTTAATTTTTACGAATCCCTCTTCATGGAATAAGGGCATGATTTCTGATAAATCACTTTTCAGAGTTTCTAGTTGATTTGTTACCTCAGAATTCAAGATTTATTAGCTGAAAATTGTACACTGTGAGCACTGGGATCAGCCCTAAACTTTGTCCAAACCCTGCAATAATCGTAAAACACTAAACAAGGGTAGACATATTTCTAGTTTAACTGCCTGAAGATTTTTCTTATGGTTTATTACGTAACTCTCCACCTATTATCTCATTTTTGTACATGTTCTGGGAGAACTCAACTTGCTCCCTATAAAATGCAACGTCTTCCTGCACAGGTGGTTCTGGTTTAAGTGCCAGCCTGCTTCGGGTTTGTAAGTAGTGTTGCAATTTTTTCTCGATTCGTCCTTTTTCATAATCCAGATTTCGTTTTGGCATTCCAGTTCAGCCATTTGATCCTGAAGCTCTTTTATATAGAATCATTATGGCATCGTATATCTGAGATTTTAAATGAGTGGTTGACCTCACGTTGGTTACTCTCGTCCATCAGACCTCTTTACGGTCATATCTCAGTTTAGATTCAAGTTCTTTTAGGAAGCCAATTTCATCTTGCAGTTCAGCAATGTGTGACATCGTTACATCAGTTTGTGCAGCAGCACTTAAAGAATGTTGCATATCTTCGTACTCAGCGTCAAGCATAGCTTCTAGTCTGCAACCTTCTTTTTTGACTCAATATTTTGAGCTTCAAGAGATGGTTTAGGGCTCTCTGATCTTCCTAGGTTCTTCAGTTGAGTACGCAGCATCTCTATTTCTGACTCGTATGTTTTAGTCTTTTTTATTTTTTTTCCAGAAAATCGAGTCTTATTGCAAGTCGATGAAATTCTTGCGCTTTTTGAGAATTTTTTTGAACTCTTTCTATTCTTCGTTGTACGCATCCGTTACTTGGCGGAGTTCCTTGTAACGATCGAATTTAGAATTGGCTTCTGTGAGCTGTTTCTTCAGGTCCAAAATCTCCAGCTGATATCTAGTTTAGTGAATTCTCTAAGCTCATTGAAAGATTCTTCCAGTTCTTTGCGTTGTCTTTAAGTACACTGCACGTCTTCAGCTATCACAGATTCTGCTTCGGCTAGTGCCTCCTCATATGTCTCTTCTTGAATAGGCCTCATTTCACGTCCGGATGATTCTTCTTTGGGTGGATAATTTTTTCAATGGCATATACCCTAGGGATGCTTTTTTTAGGTGATACGTTGCCATAGTGTCCAAAAGTATGACGTCTTAATGTTTTTTTCGGTGTGGTGATGCCGAGGCTCCATTTGAAAGCGCCCGACAATAGATACTACTTCCGTTTTTAGTCTTTCTATCTCGGCAGATACTCTTTGTTGCTTTTATCCATCTCTTTTAGCTTAATTGCCTGCTTTTTGAGCCGAGTTTCGAGATCGCGAGTCAAGTTCTATATCCTTGAAGTGTCTCTTCTGTAGCGACAAGAGTTACTTTCGTTTTATTTTTGACAGTTTTAGTGCTTTGGGCGAATTCTGGTAGATCTAGTCTCCTCCTCTCAGCTAAAGTAACATTCCCGAATAATCAAGATTTGGCATTACCGCCAAGAGCCTGTGAGAGCAGTCTAGTCAATTTTCGAATCGCGATAACTGATAAACTCCTTCCCCTCGCTTAGTGTGCCTTATCACATTTCCTAATACGACAAAGATTTGTTTATGTTAGCCCCCTCTTTAAGACGCTCACCAGCAGCTTT